CATGGTGTGTCTTGATCCATGATAACAAACTAGTAAATTAGGAGATTCTCTTACTATGTATAGATATGTTTAGCAGGTAGACTCAAGTTTGTTGGTCGGTTAACCCATAACAAATATTATTATTATATTTTTTTAAAAACATAGAAATCGAGGTGGGGATGAAGAACGTGACAAGTAGAGATGTCCATGAGGTAAAGTGGGGAGGAGGAAACCTTCTTTGTCCTCGTCCTTGTCTCTTATTTCAATCTCATTCCTGCCAAATTTCTCATTTATTTTTGCGCGTAGATAATTGGCGGGTCGAATTTTCATGAAAAATCTTTTCCATCTTTTTATATATATATTTTAAAAATATTCATTTAAAAAAATCAATCTTAATAAATCCAAAAATATATAATAGATTATTCAATGTTAACTTTTAAAAACTTCCATTGTAGTATTACAACAATATCTTTCTCACATACTTTTTATTTTATATATATATATATATATATATTAAGCCCATTCAAAACTAAATCGGTCCGAAATTACCCAATGGGCCGGCCCATTGATATATATATTAAGCCCATTCAAAACTAAATCGGTCCGAAATTACCCAATGGGCCGGCCCATTGATTTCTAGCCTGTTAATATAATGACTACCCCGATTTCCTCCAAGAAGCCCACAAATTAAAAAACACATTTTCTTTATCCTTTGTATGAATAATAATTAAAATAATGTTTTAACACTTTTTTTAGGTCGATTATGCCAGATCGAAATGACCATTATATCCCTAGCTATTAAAAGCTCGAGAGTGCTTTGTTTAAGACAAAATAACACTATTAATTGTCGTAACGAAATAAAATTGAATCCATACGCTCGACCCATTTGCTTCTACCCTTCCCCAATTCCAAACATTTTATTTTTGTTGACTTTAATAACTGGACATATTTTATGATTTGACATGCAATTTATAATTAAAAAAACAGGTTTATGGGCGTGAATAAAGGTGATGCTGACGTGTACAATGTACACTAGTTCTACTTGTAATATTACACGTGGAGGCAGACAAAGAAGGTTAATAATAGCTGCCACTTCACAATATGAACTGGAACAACCGGTCAATTGTCCCGATTCAATCAAATGCGGCAGGTGGGGGTTATATTCGTCATTTTCTTCCTAATATCAGGGGTATTATCGGGAATTTTGTCCCGGAAACGCAAAATAATAATTTAAAATAAAAAAATTAATGCGAATGAAAAGTGTAAATAAATCCGATCTCAAGCATTTTTTCTTCGAGTCCACGTCAACTTGGGCCCCACATGAGGTGACCCGAACGCCTGTGAGACACGTCACACTGTCGCTAAGATGCTTCGTCTCATTCGCCTCACCGTTTAAATTATTTTAAAAGGGAAAAGGTTATAAATAAATATATTCAGAATAAAGAGGTTGCTGCCACGTAAGATCCACTCCCTCTTTCACATGTCATTTTCTATGACCACCGTGAAGCACGATCAGCCGTCGATCTTATCTCATCCAATCAACGGTCTTTGATTTTTTGGTTTCTTTCCTAATTTTTCTTTTTCCACGCCTTCACAAGCCGACAATGCCACGTAAGTCCAGACAATGATATAACCGATAAGTGACAACTAATCCTATTAAATACATATTTTATGTTCATTTATTGTAATTTCTCCGATATACACGATGTTCATTGCACTCAAAATAGAATTTATAATTTATAATTTAAATTCTTATTTTTTATAAAATTATTTTAAAAAAATTATACTTATACCTACGCCCCAATACTTTTAGTTTAACAACAAACTTAAAATTAGGGTAAATAATTTTATTTTTATAAAATGTCTAACTTACCAACCGAGTTTTTTTATTTATTAAAATTTTAATTAAATTCCACCTTTATTATTTTAATTAGATAGTTTAGATTGATTCAGAGAATAAAATATTTTTTGTTTTTAATATCTATGCTAATAATATATATATATATATATTTAAACATACAACTTTTAAATAATGGTTCAGCTACTTTATATCGGGTATTCTTACTTTATTGTAAAATGTACACTTATAAATTTATCAATACAATCATTCCAATTCTTTTTAACACATACTCTTAACTAATTAAATTATTTAAATTATGTTTGATGTTATACATAATTACTATTTATACAATAATACCAAAATTACAATAAACAAAAAAAAAAATTAGAATGGATTAGAGATAAAAAAAAAATATATATATATATTGTTAATTTCTACCACGCCCCATCAAAACTTTGGGTAGATTTAAGGTATGTCCCTAGACTTCAAAATTTTATTATTTTCACCCCTCAACTTTGAAATTATTCCAAAAAAAATTATTTAGATAATTAAAATTGGTGTTGAGACGAGACAATAAATGTTGGCCCACCCTATGAAATCCCATGAAGACTTTGCATTTTAGTGCCGAAGTTTAGATAAAATTGCAAATTGAAAACAAAAAAAATTGCCACTTTGGGGCACGATATTTTCCATTATTACGGCATGCGAACAATTGACGCAACTGTTCACTATAGTCATCACCCTAATTCAAAAAAGCCTACGACTATAGGTCATTCCTACCTAAGAACTCTTTTAGGGAATTTGAAAACAACATTTTGATATTAATTTATAATAATAATAATTTAATGACTCATTTTGACAATTATAGGTTAAAACCCCGGAATTAAATTTATTTATTATAATTAATAATTTTTTAAAATTACTGTTGGATTCTGGAGTTTTCTATCTTGAGGTTGGGAGCCGGGGGGAGGAATCCGGAACACAAATTAAACAGGAGGACCAAAGCGCAATAATGGGCAATGGGTAATGTATACACGTGGCAGTCGGAGGGGCTGTAGGTGGGATTTTTTTTATTTTTTCTTTTTTTAAAGAAAAGTTTGAGAAGCGTGACGGTGAGCTGGCTACCCAAACTGTAGGCCCCATGTGGTTGTGCTGTGGACACGTCATTCTTAGGACCACGTACAGCACCCGTGGGGACCACACCCCCACGTACGTGTTCAGTTCCATTTTCCTGACACTGCTTCGGTGGCGGTGATCCTCTCCTCCGCATCATATTTCTCGTGGCACTCTCCTCACCCTCCGATCCTCTTCATCTTCTCTATCCAATTATTTTCACGCAAATGGCCCTGGCCCCCTTTTTAATTTAATTTTTTTTTTTCACTATAAATCTCTCTAGTTGAATTTAATTTAATATTTCGTTATTATAAAATTCAATTTTATTTATTTAAAAAGCATTAAATACGTCAGAAAATAGAAATTAAAATTTCAAAACCTTATTTAATGTTTTTAAATTTAAAATTTATTACTCCAAGATTAAAAATTAAAACAAAATTAATCTTTAATTTAATAATGGTACATGTGTGGGACCGGTGGTATACGTGGGGTGACTTGGAAAGCGTATAGAAACAGAGATGGTGAGTGGACGGTCAGGATTTTGAGATTTTCCAAATAGTCGACAGAGTGCGCCAGACAGGGAGTGCTGCTATCCGCGTCGGATTGAGAGGTCCTCACCCTATTCCTCTCGAACCATAATTACTTTTATACCCTTGTTATTTTGTTTAAATATCTCTTCTACCCCTTCCTTCAATTTTCTTCCACATTTGCCCCCATAACTTTTCGTTTATTACAATGATTCCCTACTAATTTTATTTCAAAAACAAATTGTTTATTATTATGGCTAAAATTCATGACAAGACGTTTACCCGATATTAATTAATTCTATTGTCTGCCAATTATTTATTTTATTTTTCCATTATAATTAAAAATATTGTTTTTTTGGATAAATATAAATATGCCTTTTAAAGATGTCGACTAAATGTGAATTGACCAGGTATTGGAAGTTTCCTTTTGTAAGCCTTTAAAAGTAGGTTACCCAAATATATAAATTATTAGCATATAAGTTTTTTTTTTAATTTAAATTAAAAAAAATTACTGAATATTATTCAAAACTAAAGTGCACCAAATATACTCTTTTACCCTCCAATATTATCTATTTTAATATATTTCAATTTATATATATTAGTAAATGTCAACCAAAAATAATTACTTAAAATTAATTAAAAAAATTGAAAGATAAAATGACTAAAATGTCAGTACATGCAATCGAAATTCGCTACGCTCACTATTTCCACTCCAACAATCATCACCGACAATTAATGAGGCAGGTAACTTTGGTAGCTCGTCTAAGAACCACTATCGACGACTTCATCTCATGTTAGTCTAGAGTAGTTAATTATAATAAAACATTTTAAGTATAGAATAACTTATAAAAACATTTTTTTTTTTAAATAATCAAACTAAAATATTTTAAAAAAAACATTTAAATTAGAAGTAAATCTAAACCGATCTTACTATCCCACGAGTCTACTTAGTGGAACCTTTTAAAATACTTTTCAGCCAAAAAAGGGAGGGATTTTCCAGGTGTGCGCATTGCTGTACATTGCCAATAAAATCAAACCACGTGTTCAATGCTATAATAATTAAATAATGAAAATTTAAGTCACGACAAAATATCTCCTTTACTCCAGAGAAACACCCGATTTAGACCGTCGGATTAGTGGCCGATGGCCAACTCCAAGGGTCTTTGCTGGCATACAAACGTGGATTAGTTATTTTAATCGTAATTAATTAAACTATCTTTAGCGACCACGTCAGCGGAATTGGGCCGGGCTGGGCCCATGACCCAATTAGAGGAATAGATCGAATCTTATGTGGACACGTTTACGGAGGAGGTGATGTCAGAATAAAAAAATAAAAAAGAAATGGGGTGCACGAATCTCGAGGGGCCAGCTCAACAACCACCATAGCCCACCACCCCCGTATTTACGGTATACGTATACATTTTCCAATTATCGGACACGTGTTTGATGACGTGGATGGTGCCTTGGCGCTCCCTTTCTCATTCTCATTTCCCCGCCTCCCCTCTCCTCCTCTTTCTTCACCACTTTCATTCTCTCTTTATCTCTCTCTCTCTCTCTCTCTCTCTCTCTCTCTCTCCCTCTCCCTCTCCCTCTCCCTCTCCGCGAAGAAACGTCCTTCCCGTTGCGAATGACTTTTTGTCCAAAAGTTAATGCAGAGGATTGAAGCTGCGGTTTTCGCCATCGAAGTTAGTTGAAGAAGCTCAAGCTGTATGGAATATTCTCTTTCGCCTTTTTTTTTTTCTCTTCTTCCTGTTTATGATTTTCTTTTTGTTTCTTGTTTAATGTTTCATAGAACTGAAGCTTTGTGAAATCTGCCTTTTCTTTGAAGAAATTTGAGGAGGAGAATTGAATTCTTGTGCATTTACTGCACTTTTTTTGAAGTATTTGCTCTGTTTGTTCGTCTAGGGAAGGGAGAACCGTGAGGTTTAATTATGGATTTTTGAAGTCTGAATTTGATTGTTGAAGTATTCTAGTTTGTTGCTGACAGGAAATTACGGGAAACGAACTTTAAGGATACAAGTGCTACAACTTTTTTATTTTCTGTAAGTAGGCGTTGGGAATTTAAACTACTTTTTCCTTCCATCTCTAAACGAAATCCCGAGGATAGAAGCTTGTTTCAGCTGGATCTTTGTTCGTACTCTTCGTCAGGACCTCCATTGCTTGATCCCTCAGTATTTTCTTGGTCATTTGGTTCAGTTCGGATTATGTTCTCGGTCTTTCCTGATCTTTTCATTCGTTTCTGGATTTTTTTGATGATGGATGAACCAAAATTAGATGCCAGAAGAGAATTCGAAAACGTAAATTCATTTGAGAAGAACTGCAAAAGTTTCAGGCAATTTACATGGAGAATTGAGCTTCTAGCCCCCTTCTCTCTCATCTCTGTCTCGTTGTATTAATTTTCTGGGGTAATTTCGTCATTTTTCATCCCAGAATTTACCTTTCAGCCCGAATTGGTGATAATCAGCTAGCCCTTCTTTGTACGAAATCCCATATATGCCCCCTTATGAATTGGTTTTTCCTAAGAGGCCCTTTACCCTTCTCTGTATGCGCACTTTTGTGTTTACAGACTTGGGTTTTTTCCCCTTTACTGCTGATGTGTATTTTTGCAACTTTATTGTTGTTTTCCTTTTTAAATATTTTAGTTTTTTGTTATTTGTTGAAAAACTTTTCGGCAATGAGCACTAACAATTAATTTTGACCATATAGGCATATTATTTTGCAACACAAGCTATAAATGGTTTAAATGAAAAGTACTTTATCTGGTCTGTGGCTGCTGATGAAATGATAAAATTGACTGCAATAGTAATGATAATGAGAAATAATTGGAATCAAGTTTTCTTCTAAGGCCCCTTTACAGACTAAAGCATTTGTGGTTGCTTTGAAGGATAGCTAAGTCCTGTTCTATGGTATTAAAAATACAAGAAAAAAGTAGAAGTTTGGTACTGTCAGTTGTATTTTAATTAAATGACTTCAAGATGTAATTTGGATAATGTAAGGCATGTGACCCGTTTGTGATCCAGACACGAGCTTTTAGAAATAAAGAAAGCCCAGTTCAGTTAGAAATCTTTTAATGTCCGAAAACACTCCTACATGTTAAGTAGAAGATTAAATTAAAAATGATAACTGCACAGTATGTTTTTATTGATGTATGTCGTTGGGCTCAGTACTTTCTAAACTACATGCTTCATTTTTTATTTTCTCCCGTCCTGCTCTAATGCTTGCATAGCTAATCTATGCAGCCAAGTGGGTCATAATCGGTTCAAGGATCTGTCATATTAACCGTCAATCAAGATATCCAGTTTGAGCAGTATCTGTAACATGGGCACTAGTGAAGAGGCCAAGGCTGTGAAGTCTGAAAAACCATCTTCACCAACGCAGGTATGGTGATTAGTGATTATTTTCCTGAAAGAGTGTGAGGTTTACCTGTTCTGAGTTGTCTGTGAAAGCTACCAGATTTACTTTTTGGCAAATAATTTAATTATTTAAGCTGAACTAGTTCCTCTCTGTACATTGACAGGATCAGAACAATGGGTCAAATTCGGCCAGTATTCATGTTTTTCCTGATTGGGCAGCCATGCAGGTTCGCTTAGTCTGCTCCGATCCTGATATCAAATTGTTTCAAACAGTCATTAAACATGTTGTTTCGTAAGTTATGGTGACTAGATTGTTATGGCTAATTGAAGGGAGTTGCTACCTTTTCAGGCATATTATGGTCCTAGAGTTGCAGTTCCACCATACTACAACTCTGCTGTGGCTTCAGGTCATGCTCCTCACCCTTATATGTGGGGCCCACCACAGGTAGTTCTTGACTATTGAACAGTTTCAATGATGATGTGTTTTCCATCAAGTTATACCTCAGGGAAAGGACTGTGTTTGACTGAAAGTTTCTTGCTAATCCATTTTTCCAGATGATTCCTCCGTATGGCACTCCCTATGCAGCAATCTATTCTCATGGAGGTGTTTATGCACATCCTGCAGTTTCTATGGTAAGCTTGTAATTTTTTATTGTGAAGATGAAACACTTCTTTTTCCTTTTCTTTTTTCTAATTGTCAAGCATTTCCGGACTAATTATAAGATGATAATATTAAATGTAGGGACCACATTCACATGGCCCTGGTGTTCCCTCATCACCTGCTGTAAGTGAAATCTTCATTCTGGAATTTAATTCAGTTGTACGAATCGTATAATTTAAATTTGTTAATATTATGAAAAAAGTTTTAAATGGAGGTGATAGAATGTACTAGCTCTCTGAGAAAAAATATTAATAAAAAGTAAATTGGTGTTTATTGCAGCCTGCTGCAAATCCTTTGAGCATTGAAGCACCTTCAAAGGTTTCTGGAAACAGTAGTCAAGGTTTAATGAAGAAACTGAAAGGTTTCGACGGCCTGGCAATGTCTATCGGCAATGTTAATACTGAGAGTGCTGATGGGCCCAGTGAGCACGGACAATCAGAGAGGTTAACCAAATTTATCTAATTATCATCTTCTATAAATATTTTTTTTAAAAAAATATGTCCCCATTTTTTCTGACTGTCATGTTTATCTCATGGCTCACCTAACTTGTAAATTCTTTCTGTCATGTTAACAGTATGGAAACTGAAGGTTCCAGTGATGGAAGTGATGGAACTACTGCTGGGGTAAGGTTCCGTAGCTCGAGAATATTTATTGGTTCATCTAACATCTTTTAAGCTTTATCATTAATTGCTTGATCGTTAAGAATTGCAATTCAAAATCTTGATTTCTTTTATATCCTAATATGTTCAGGCAAATCAAACCAAAAGGAAAAGAAGCCGTGAGGGCACACCTACCACTGGTATTACTCCACTACCTAATATTTTCCTTTCATAACATATGGTGTTGCACCAATGATCTATACCTCACTTCTTGATTAAACCCCTTTTTTTGGTGTATGGAGTTAACCATTTACATCAACGTTAATGTTATGTCCATCTTAGAGATGTTACAGTAATAGGTATTATGAATTCCATGAACAGCCAACCTCTTCTGAATTATAGACTTGAAGTTAAATAAATCCTCGTAGTTGATCAAAAAAATAAAGTTAGTATGATGTTACGCTAACCTTTGAATTAATCACTTGCAGATTCATAATTTCTTAAGAGTCTGATAATTTTCATGATTATGCTGACTATGCATCATTCAATTATAAGCTTCGGATGCTTTATATATTTTATGTATAAGATCTTGATTTCCTCAGCCTTTCATATCGCAGGTAAAGATGCAAAAATTGAGACACAAGGAAGTCCAGTTACTCCTGCTGAAATGAACGAAAGCTCTAGCAAGTTATTGGGTATAATCAAAGCAGCTGATGCAACTGGAAAGCTTGGATCTGTGATTTCTCCTGGAATGTCTACAGCTCTGGAACTTAGGAATCCTTCTAGTATGAACACCATTTCAGGTCCAACGAGCTTCCCACCTTGTTCGGTATTGCCTTCTGAAGTCTGGCTTCAGGTATACAATTGGAAACGACTCTCTTCCTAATAAATCTTGGGTTATTTGACTTTAATTATGCATGATCTTATTTGTACATTGCTTAATTAATGCCTCTTCATATTCTGCCTGCCCAGAATGAAAAAGAACTAAAACGGGAAAGGAGAAAACAGTCGAATAGAGAATCCGCTAGGAGGTCGAGGTTAAGGAAGCAGGTAGAAGAGTGAAACTGAGAGAAACGTTTCATTTTCTAATATTGAATTAGAAAGTCGTCAGCCTCATAGCTAATGTACTTTCTTGGTGTTAAATCTTCAGGCTGAGACTGAAGAACTAGCTCATAAAGTCGATTCACTGACTGCGGAGAACGTCGCTATTAGATCTGAAATAAGTAGATTGTCGGAGAATTCCGAGAAACTTAAGCAAGAAAACGCTACATTGATGGTGCGCTGCTGCCCTCTTCGATGTACTCTTTTAGTTTTTCCCCACAAGAATCAATCTATAAATTTCTAACAACATAAAATGCCTTCAAACTTGACAGGAGAAGCTTAAAAGCGCTCAATCAGGTCGAACAGAAGCATTAGACATGAACGAAAAAAGGACAAAACATCTTGTAAGCACAGACATCAAAGGACCTGTGAACAAAAGCATCAACGAAGAGAGTAACATCTGCAAGAAGAAATCGAGTTCGGGAGCAAAGTTGCGTCAACTCTTGGACACGAATCCAAGGGCCGACTGCGTTGCCGCCAGCTAAAAGAACAAGTTTAGGTGCAGTTTCTTTTTCATGTGGTTTTGGCATATTACAAGCCCAAAATTACTGCTAACAAAAATTACTAAGAATGAAAACAGCTGAATAGGATGTGTCTGTGAGAAAGGGCAGACTCTAATTTTAATGGTTAGTTTGTTGAATAGTTGTATGATTATGTGTAACTATAATGAGTATTGGGGTTGGCAACTGTTGGAGATTTTTTAGAATTTTAGCTTTAGATCTCTATGCGCACCTCGTACCAGATGATATCTCATCATTTGGTGGGTAGAGGTTGAGCCCTTTTATGAATTGTCAATGAAAAATTGCATCTATTTTTGGTTGCTGCTTTGTATGAATGAATTTAGGCTGCTCGGACTTTGCGTTTCAAGTTCGTTATCCTAATCGTTTCCTCCGTTCTACGGGGAGTCTGATCCCTTTCATGTTATCTACAGTTTTTTTTTTCTTGGCCATTTACAGATCTAGCCACCCATGCAAGTTTCTCATATGGGTTGATTCAGCTACCCATGCAAGTTTCTCAATCGATTTTCTATCGATTTTCTTTTTCATAAATATGAATATATATATATAAACTGAGAATCTTGTGAATTGTGAATTTGAAACACTTGTCAGAATCAATCACCACTCGTGAGAAGGATCCCAAATATCTCACTAGTCCTAAAAAAAAAAAGAGTGCCACACTCGGGAGGGATTGCTGGTAATATACTTAGGAAGGTAGAGATGACATCAAATCTACATTGCCCTTATGGGTTGGCCACACATGTGCTACAATGACAATTAGAATGGGAAGCAAGGTTGTTAGGCGGAGCGAATAGAATACACAAAGATTACCTTAGTTTGGATGGTTCTTTGCAACTCGAGAACATGAAGTTGGAATTGTTAGTAATGTGGATCAGCATGCCACAATGAATATGTACCAAGCCCTGTACACATTGCCCCTCACACTTTGGAAATGAGTTTTGCCTGAAGCATCAGACCAATCATCACCCATGACTTCCATGTAACACTAGTGTCACAAACGCTTTTGATGATCTATTTGTCGCATACGATGGTGGTGGGTCTTTAATTGGGTGAAGCCGTAGCTTTTTTGTTTTTTAACAGGACCCATGGAATGAATTTCGTTCATCAACTCCAGCTGTCCTAAAATAAATAAATAAAAAAAATACGTTATCAAATTACCCATAATCAACTTTTTGAGAAACCCTAAATTTATGCTTCTTTTGATATTTTCTCAAGCTTTTAACATAATTAGTGATGATACCTTCTTCTAGAAAAAAAAAAATTAGTATTCAATAAATTTTATTTTTAAATATTAAAAAATTAGTCATTTGGTAATTTCAATCAAAATTATTGTTAAAGACGTGCAAAAATTGAGTTGATATAATCTTTTAGACTAATTCAAAATTGTAGTTAAGCTTGGGATTAAAAGGCAACTTGAACTGACCCTATTTTTTTTTTTTTTGTGGGTTTATATATTTTAATTATTAAGTATGGTTGGAAGAGACTTCACACAATGATCATGAGTTTATAAGTAAAGAATACTTCTCCATAGCTAAGAGACCTTTTGGGAATCCCAGAGCAAAGCGATAAACTTATGCTTGAAGTGAACAATATTATACCATTGTAGAGATTTGTGATTTCTAACAAAATATTAGTCAGATGCATAATGCATCACTAAATTTGGTTACAAATACCAAATATTTTTAATTTTGACAATAATATTAAAAGTATGGCGGGATTTGATTGATTTATAACTTATTTTCTAGTTGACTCAACAAAAAAATGTCAACCGGCTGAAGTGATAATAATTGTAAAAATTAAAGAGTATTAATGCTTACATTTGTTTTTATCGTGATATTAATGATTTTATCTATATTATTAAGATTAAAATATTTAAAAAGAAAATTATTTTAAAAATATTTTTTATACAAAATATAAAAAGTTTAAAGATATTTAAATAATTTAGTTTCACAAAAAACACTCTTATTATTTAAAAATAATAATTAAAAAAAAAAAACAATATTACTCTCAACCTTTATTTAACATTTTAGCAGCCGGATTGGAACAGGAAATCGGTGCATTACCATGATAACACCGAACTGATTGAACATTTCAGATGCCAGGATTCAACAAGAAAAACCCTACAAAAATCTACCTCAGTTAGTTCATCAGGTGGGTCATTACAATTTTTTTGAACAGCTGATTTTGATCATTCAAATCACTACCTTAAATGTTCTAAGAATTTCCTCTCAAAATCTTTAAACAAGAACAGAAAAAGCAAACCCTGTTTGGAATCCGAGAAAATTTTTCTGGAAATTTCAAGTAATGTAATAAATTTTGAAGAAAACAATAAGCATACATGTTGTGTTAGTTCTGTGGATTATAGCTTAGAGTGGAGGGAATCTTAAGATTTGCTTTATTCTTTTTTATTTGATTTTTGTAAGAAAGAAAAGGAAACATGTTATGGTGTCTTATCCGCTACTTTCTTCGAGACCTCGCGGTCATTATAATCTCCATTTTTGTATGCCTCTCTTTAAAAGTAATGCAGAAGAACAAAACCCGCAAAAAAATTGATTTAAATTTCAGAGAGCCTGGAAAAGAGTACACAAAAAGGTATGTATGTTCTAGATCTATGCAAGTTTTTTAAAAAATTGCTGTTCTTATCCGCCATTTCATCCACATTTTACTTTTGACGAAATCCCATGGACTCTGTTCTTGATGGGTCGTATTGATTTCTGGGTTTTTGAGATGAAATTCACTTGGATTCACTGGGTTCGCCTGAAATTTCTGTTGTTCGAAGGATTTCTTGCTGGAATTTGATTAGAAGGCTTTTCAATGTTATGATTTTGAATTCATTTTATGAGGGCTTTGGCGAACATTCAAAGAATGTTTTTCATTGGCCACAAAAAATGGAAATACAATGGACCATTTTGTTTATATCTTCCCAGTTCGACAGTTTCTCTGATATATATATTTATATATATATACAGGATTTGAAACGGTCGAGATTATTCATTCATTCTGTATCGATTCGCATTGCGCCAAATTTCCGCCTCCTGGATTGGTTCATAATGCGAAACGGTTAGATTAAGCGATAATCTGGTTTTTCTTTTGCAGTTTTGTAGATCTTCGTTCTTCAGCTTCGCAAATCAATTAGGTTTTCGTAACCCTTCTCTTAGTTTTTGATTTCCGCGAGAACTTTTACGAAGGGATTTGAGAGAAAATCATGGGGCATTCGGCGCCGGTTTGGGATTGCAGAGCCGCGATTGAGATTACGAAGGATTGGAACGGCATTGATCAAGTTGTTCTTAGAAATCCCAAAGGAGCTTCCGCTAGGGTTAGTTTAAATCTTCCATTTTCATCGCGTTTGAACAAGAATTGACAATGCTGATTATATATAATCTTCTTTCAATCCACACTTTTCTATTTCGTTGTGTTCTTGGGGTTGGATGATCGATTGAAGAATCTCTTGTTCTTGATGGGTTTTCGTTTTGTTTCTGATTATAATCTTCTTTCGATCGACACTTGTCCATTTCATTGTGTTCTTGCGGTTGAATGATCGATTGAATCTCTTGTTCTGGATCGGTTTCTGTTTTGATTCTGATTATGTAGATTAGTTTACATGGAGGACAAGTTTGTTCATGGAGAAACGATCAAGGGGAAGAACTTCTCTTCACAAGTAGTAAGGTACTGATTTCATAGAACTGGCTGGAGTTTTTGAATTTGATTCAAAAAATGGAATGTTTATGCGAAGAAATTGAGTATCAGTTCATACATGAATGGTGTAGGCAATCTTTAAGCCAGCAAAAGCTATGAGGGGAGGAATTCCAATATGTTTCCCACAGGTTTATAGGATTATCTTGTTCATCTCCAAATCTCTACAACAATCTTCATTCATTCCTGATATTATTAACCAAAATTCTTGTAGTTTGGGAACTGTGGAACACCAGAGCAGCATGGGTTTGTCAAGAACAAGATCTGGACAATCGATGAAAATCCACCGTTATACATGGCTGACCTCGACGGGGCGTCCTCCTTCGTCGATTTACTATATAGATCTTCAGAAGAGGATTTGAAATGTTGGCCCTATAGGTAAACTAGATGATGTTCTTAGTTTGAACCTTTTAAGATCTTGAAGAATGTAAAAGTCTTTGACATTGGTAAATTCCTGTCAGTTTTGAGCTTCGGCTTCGGGTGTCTCTACGATACGACGGAGACCTGATTTTGAGGTCTAGAGTTAGGAATATCAATGGAAAACCATTTGCATTCTCATTTGCCTATCATACACACTTGGTGGTTTCGGACATAAGGTATTATCTTCTAGAGTCTCATCGTTCGTTTTGTTTGATCTGTATGTTCGTAAATTCAGATTCTTATACATGTTTAAATGAAGCGAGGTGCGAATCGAAGGCTTGGAAACGCTCGACTTCTTGGACAATCTATGTCACAAGGAGCGGTTTACAGAACAAGGAGATGCCATAACCTTTGAATCTGAGGTAACTTGTTCTTTATAGTTAGGTTCATTACATTTCTTGGGGTATCAAAGCTGTTAGTAACATAATACTCGAGGGTTGTCGATTGGTAGGTCGATCGAGTGTATTTGAATACTCCGAATGCAATTGCCATACTTGATCATGAAAGGAAGCGGACTTACGTGATCCGAAAGGAAGGATTACCGGATGTTGGTAAGATTTAGAACGTGTAGATGCAGGTATACATGTTCGAAAATATTGCATTAGGGGCTTGGCATTTAGTGTTTTCGTTTTTGTGTATGGTAGTTGTTTGGAATCCGTGGGAGAAGAAGTCGAAAGCAATGGTGGATTTCGGGGACGAGGAATATAAACAGATGGTGTGCGTTAACGGAGCGGCATTGGAGAGACCGATCATGTTGAAGCCTGGTGAGGAATGGAGAGGGAAGATGAAACTCACTGTTGTTCCCTCGAGTTTCTCTCTCGACTTGTAGAGGAGATGGAACCGAGACGGGGGACGAGACAGCACGGGCAGACTACTTTTTTAATGTGGGTGATGCTGTGCTGTGTTGAAAAATAAAGATCCTTGTAGTAGAAATTGATGAAATTAGGAAGGATGTTGGGCTATATCGTTGCAAGCCACTCGTGATGTTTTTTAAGGAGTGGCTTGGCTGCATTTCCCCCACTTAACGAACTATCTTCTTGTTTTTAGAGGAAGAAAGGGTGAATTCATTGTTTTGATGATTTCTTAATTTCTTTGTTGTTTGGAACCTACTTAAGAGTCGATTAATAAATTTTGAATTCAAACTCGAGGAGGGAGTGGTGCGTAATAATTTTATATTGAAACGGTTGAGACTCGAGGTCTCATCCACTTTCCTTTCCATTCCATATTCTAAAGTCAGGGAGGGCAGGGCCCTTCCCATAGTCGAGGTAGACGTTTCTGTGTCGGTGTGTAAGAGGAGCTTTGTGTCAAGGTCATGCTCGTCCAAGGTGTGTTGCTCATGGCCGCATGTCTATGACAAGCCAAACCCTTTATGCACTTTTGTATTTCTAGGAAGTATGATATTTCAGAAATATCATTATCATGTCTATGCCTGCCAAACATGAAATGCTTCTATACTGTGAGTCGTCGTTGTTACTCTCTTGCTTGCTTATATAACGCGGAGGCCAAAGGCTTGAGCATACGTCGCTTGGCCGTAGGCGACACAAGAACGAATTGGGTTAGCATTTGTTGTTGGAAAGTAAGTGCCGCACAATCGCAAGTCTGCTGCCATCAAGAGTGCGATTGTGACACTTTGATTGAAAATTTCTCATTATGTAAGAGGAGCTTTGATCGGAGATTTCTATAAAGGAATAGGGTGTGAGGATAGATTTTTTAGAGTCAGTTTTTGACATTTTAGATAATAGTCATTCAGAAACGTTAAAAAGAAAAAAGAGATGATAATGAAAAATTAAATAAGCAGAAGCTACTCTAATTTATCAGAGCCAGGTTTCGATCCTGGGACCTGTGGGTTATGGGCCCACCACGCTTCCGCTGCGCCACTCTGATTTGTTGATACACTAATTTCCATTTAATTTATTAATAATTACTTTAGATAACTTTGAGTTTTTTCTAAAACATACTATAAACTCTTAAAAGTTATCACAATTTAATCAAACAATTAAGCTTCAAATTAAAATTTAAAACCAATGAAAAAGAAAGTTATTGGGCCGTTTTTAGATGGGCCTCTTTAACTTTGTGAGCTCCAATATGGGCTTTACTCAGCAAATTTGGGCCCAAAATTTACTCTTTGAAATCCTCTTCTTCGTTTCCCTCGGGCGAATCATAAACCCTAAACTTCACTCGAACAGAATTCCGATGCATTGAGGTTTGACGTTGTAAGCGACTTATCTAGGAAGCACGCCATCGGCGTTTCGACGTAATCTTATAATCCATGGCTCACATTTCTTTATCTAAGCCTCACTACCGCCGCATCCGGGTTCTTTCCAGTTCTTCAATTTCGTGCCCAACCGCCCTCAATTCGCTTAATTTCTTCAGCTCTACTCAAGAACTGATCTCCACAGCTACTCAAATTCAAAGCCCCAATGATCAATCCCCCAGTTCCGATGCTGCAGTGGCTGTTGATGTCGACGTGCAAGTTAAACGAAGAACCCCTAGAGGTAAGCATCGAAACCCAGAAAAAATAGAGGATATTATTTGTAGAATGATGGCAAATCGTGAATGGACAACTCGTTTACAGAACTCCATTCGGTCGTTGGTTCCTCAATTTGATCACTCCCTTGTTTGGAATGTGTTGCATGCTACTAAGAACTCGGATCATGCGCTCAAGTTCTTCCGGTGGGTAGAGCGAGCCGGCTTATTCCGGCATGATCGCGATACCCATTTGAAAATAATTGAGATTCTTGGTCGAGCTTCGAAGCTTAACCATGCCCGTTGCATTCTTCTTGATATGCCCAATAAGGGTGTTGAATGGGATGAAGATTTATTTGTTGTATTGATTGATAGTTATGGTAAAGCTGAGATAGTTCAGGAAGCTGTGAAAATATTTCAAAAGATGAAGGAATTGGGCGTTGAGAGAAGTGTTAAATCTTATGATGCTTTGTTTAAGGTAATTTTGAGGAGAGGGAGGTATATGATGGCGAAGAGGTACTTCAATGCTATGTTGAATGAAGGAATTGAGCCGACTCGACATACCTATAATTTGATGCTTTGGGGTTTCTTTTTGTCGTCGAGGCTCGAGACAGCCAAGAGATTTTATGAAGACATGAAGAGTAGAGGTATATCGCCCGATGTCGTTACGTATAACACTATGATTAACGGGTATTATCGATTCAAGATGATGGAGGAGGCTGAGCAATTCTTTACTGAGATGAAGGGGAAGAATATCGTACCGACAGTGATAAGCTATACTACTATGATAAAAGGTTACGTTTCGGTTGGTCGAGTTGATGATGGATTGAGATTGTTTGAAGAGATGAAGGCTGTTGGTGTGCAGCCAAATGGTATTACTTATTCAACTCTGCTCCCTGGTCTGTGCGATGCAGAGAAAATGTCGGAAGCGCGACAAATTTTGACAGAAATGGCGAGCAAGTATATTTCTCCAAAGGATAGTTCCATTTTCATGAGATTGTTATCTTGCCAATGCAAACATGGTGATTTGGATGCTGCTATGCACGTTCTGAAAGTGATGATTCGATTAAGCATTCCAACAGAGGCTGGACATTATGGTATTTTGATCGAGAACTGTTGCAAAGCTGAAATGTACAATCGAGCTGTTAAATTACTCGACAATCTTGTAGAAAAGGAAATCATATTGAGGCCACAAAGTAGTCTTGAAATCGAGCCTAGTGCTTATAACCCTATTATTCAGTATCTGTGCAACAATGGACAGACTGGAAAGGCTGAAACCTTTTTCCGGCAGTTGTTGAAGAAGGGTATTCAAGATGAGGTTGCGTTTAATAATTTGATTCGTGGCCATTCCAAAGAAGGTAATCCTGAATTAGCATATGAAATGTTGAAAATCATGGGTAGGAGAGGCGTGTCGAGGGATGCCGAGTCTTTTAAGTTGCTTATCGAGAGCTACTTGAGTAAAGGCGAACCAGCTGATGCGAAAACAGCTTTGGATAGCATGATTGAATGTGGGCACTATCCCCATTCGGCATTGTTTAGATCAGTGATGGAAAGTCTATTTGCAGACGGGAGGGTGCAGACCGCGAGCCGAGTAATGAATAGTATGTTGGATAAACGAATAACCGAAAACTTAGACTTAGTTGCTAAAATCTTAGAAGCCCTTTTCATGAGAGGGCACGTCGAGGAAGCATTAGGACGAATCGATTTGCTAATGAGCTGCCACTGCCCGCCTGATTTCAATAGTCTTTTATCTGTTCTTTGTGAAAAGGGGAAAACCATTGCAGCTCTCAAGCTTTTAGATTTCGGGTTGGAAAGGGAATGTAAGATAGAGTTCTCGAGTTATGAGAAAGTACTTGACGCGCTTTTGGGGGCGGGGAAGACATTGAACGCATACTCGATTCTATGCAAGATCATGGAGAAGGGAGGAGGAGGAGGGGCCAAGGATTGGAGTAGCTGTGATGATCTGATCAAAAGGCTGAATCAGGAAGGGAACACAAAGCAAGCTGATATTCTCTCAAGAATGATCAATGGTGGAGGAGACAGAAAGGGAAGTAAGATATCTTGTGTTGCTGTTTGATGCAATATAACTCAAATTTTGGAGGGTAACCCAAGTGAGGGCAGCGGGCGGGTGGGCGGCGCAGCGGTCGCTGGTGCAATGCGTGGATCGCTCCGTTCAGGTCATGTAAGCCTTGACCTCTGCTTTCACCATTGCTTTATTTCAATGAATCTCAAGCTATTACCCATCTCTTGCTATGAAATTTGGCTGGACCTATGTTTTGTTCTAAGCTTTGGTATCTCTAGCCATTGGTGTTCATAATTGTTTGAATAATATGATTCTGTTGCCAGAAATGCTCACCAGTTCCCACTAAAATGGGTTCAAGTGATTCTTAGTACAATATATTATGTTGAGCATTATTTAACACTATTTTATTCATAAAATTGTTGTGTATTATTGTAATTTTAGTCTAAATTAATAAAAATACCGTTAAATTTGTACTTTGTCGTATAAATATTTATAAACTTTCAAATTTTTTTAATAATACTTTTAAATTTTGAAAAGTTTCGAAAAGTTCGAAATTACCAATTACCTCGAAGTTTTATTAAGGTCTTTAAACTTTTAAAAAAATATATTTCATTAATTTCCATTATTTTTTAAAAATGTTAAAAAAATCATATTAATAGAGAATTCAAAAATATTTTGATAATTCAATCTACGGACTTCATATTTTTGTTAATCAAATAATTTTTAATTTAAAATGTGGAGTATTTATAATTATTTTTCTAAAATTTAGAGATTAAAATATTCTTTTTGAAACTTCTAAATTAATAAAATCTTTAAATTAATAAAATCTTTAAATTTTAGAAAAAAAATAAAAAATACATTTACCATTTTGTTTTGTTTGAAACATTTTTTAAAGAATTTAAAAATAGTACTAAATTGAATGAAAATTTGAAGTGAGGATTTTATTTAGGGTTGTGAAGCTGTCAGCTATGAAAAAGTTGTACAGGCTAGGTCCTACGAAACTTGCCAGTAAGGCATTCAAATTTCACATCTCCCAATTAATAACACACGTCTTCATTTATATTTTTTAACATGCTCACAAACTTTTTTAAAACAATTTTCAAAAACACTCTTAAAAAATATATATATCAATCCCTTCAACTTTTAAATTAGCCGACCTGAGACTCACTCTCAACAATCCTCAACACCTGTATATAGCATTATTTAGTTTACTTTAAAAATGATATTTTGTAAAATACCAAACAAATAACAACATACATAAATATGTCAAAAAAAAAAAAAAAAAAAAA